ACTGGACTCGTATAAACTCGTAACTCAAGAATTAAGCCAAGAAGAGGAATCATTCAATTGAATTACTTAATTGAGTAATTCAAGTCATAGCAATTAGTTTATTGATAAATTTTATAAATTGCAAGTTACAAAAAAACAAATTACTTCAAATAATAAGTTATATGAAGCAAATCTAATTCGATTTTGTATATTAAAAAAAAACTATTTTCTTCCCGTCATCCATTATAATTTCACAAGTGAAAGTTATATCCTCCTTACAAAAATATTTCTAGATGAAACTTGGAGTAGGTCTACTTTTAGACATATGGGTAGTTGTGTTTTGACATTCTTTTTATTACAAGATTCCTACTATTCATTAGTGCTTTTATTTTGCTAAGTCTATTTTTATTAAAAATTTGTAACTAATGATGATCAAATGACAGATTTCTAAGAAGAAATGGACAAAGATAAGAGACGAAGGCATGAAGTATGCAAGTATTTTTTATAATAATGTTAAATTTAAGTTTATTTGATATTACCAATAATAATCCATAATCTCAGTTGTCTCTGGTTCTGTAATTTCAATTATCTCTGGTTTTATAATATCGGGTGTCTTTGGCACCTGGTTTAGTTTAAAAAGTGATGCTAGACCTTTTTCAAATACTGTTTCTTCAAAAAATTCATTAGATACCACCTTCTCTTCTTCTATGTTTCATCTATTTTAAATATTGTGTTGTTGTCTATATTGAATGTTGGGTTGTTTAAATTGTATAATCTTGGGTCGTTGTTGAAAATTGGGTTGTTTAAGTATTTTTTTCTTTGAATTGTAACGTCTAGATGGCATTTTAATTAAAAAAAAAACTTTAAGTAGATGTTGTAAGAATAATTAAATAAACAATCTGATATTTATATTTTTATATAATGATACTGGCCTTAATAAAGTCGATTGTTATTGTGTGTACGATAAATCATGCGAATGCGCAATTTGTAAAGATCAATATTTTAAAAGATCATCATAGTTATAAATCAATAATAAAAAATCTTCTTTAAAATAATTACTTACCAATTATTCTGATTATATTTGTAATTAGAAAATCACGATCTCAGAAATTTTTTAAATAAAAAACTTCTGAGATCTGGACACACATCTATAGCAAATTGCTTTTGTGTATACAAAAGAAATTTTATTAAAATGGTTAGTTACTATTAAAAAATATACGCATGTGCATACTATATTAGATTTAAAGGTAAACGTATGTACCAAATTTAAAATATTTATGTCATTATTAAGATAAGTGCTATTTACAATGGTATAAATTTCCTTTTTAAGTTTAAGTTATAACTTATTTTGTATAAAGCAGACAATCGTATTGATATGTATGTTTAAATTTATGGGTTCAGCATTAAAAAAATTAATGATCTAACTTGAAAAAGTTATTTTACAATTGTAAGTAAAATCATTCACAGGTTCTTTTATTAAATCATTTTAATAATGAATTTTATCGCAATTAAAAACAAAGACTGTAATTATTAAGTGTCTTGTAAAATTAAATTCGATATATAGTAAATGCTTTTGTCTTTATTTAATATCTAATAAAAATACAATTTTTTGCAAAAAAAAAAGTGTATTTTGAAATAATATAAAATAAATCTATCAAATGGCTCTTTTTCGTTAAAAATATCTTTCACTTGTTAATACTCTTAAAAAAAAAAAAAAAAAAAAAAACCTCTAATAGAAGCTATTAAAAAAACCAAACCTAACTGTATAAAAAAATTAAAAGCTAAATCAAAAAAAAAAACAAATCAAAAAATAACAAGACTTTCTCATAAAGATTGTCATGCTGCAATTGGAGCTGCTCTTAAAGAACTCACAGGTCCTAAGAATCCTAGTGTAAATTCAACTGCTCTAAATTTTGGAATTTCAGAAACAACCCTTAGACATGCTGTTAAAAATAGGTTGCCTAAACGTACTGGCCCTAAAACAGTCTTAAGTAAATATAAGGAAGAGCAGCTAGTAGGTTACTGTAAAAATATGCAGAAGTTAGGGTTTGGTTTGACAAAATCGGGTGTGAACCACTGTGTGATGGAAATAGTGTATAACAATTATCATGACTATTCTTTTACAACTAAAGGACCTAGCAGGGCTTGGTAGAACTGTTTTATGAAAGACCACCCAGACTTATTTTTTCGAGTACCCCAAGCCCTATCTGAAGCATGTGCTCAAAGAGCAAATCTGATAATTATAAAAGATCATTTCGAAAAGCTGCAAAAAATAATTGAGAAATATTCACTTACTGCAGAATGCATATGAAATATGGACGAAATGGGTTTCATTATTTCCTCTAAGGACCAAAAAGTTCTCGCAACAAAAGGTTTGTATTAAAAATTTAAATTATAAACATCATAGCTGATACTAAAATTTAAGGTTTTTAATTAAAAAATTACTTAACTCTATAAAAGGTGCTTGTTAAGTTTATAAAGTTTCACATGGAAATGTGCATGAGCGCATTTTTGTTGCTCCAACAATTTCAGTGGCAGGTGACTACGTTCCTCCATTAATTATTTATAAAGGTGTTCGTATGATTCCTAGTCTATTAGCTGGAGGTCCAACTGGTGCCGTTATGGGTTTTACTGATACTGGGTACATGCGAGAAAGCCTCTTCTAAATGTATATTGAACACTTCATTAAGTCAATTCCGCCTACTCATCCAGTCCTATTAATACTTGATGGCCATAAAAGCCATGTAAATTATACAAGTATTAGATTTTGTCATGAGAATGGGATTCTACTTTATACACTTCCTCCACACACAACATATATTCTCTAGGCATCTGAACTCCCTTTTGCAAAACTTAAAAGAGAGTATAATAAAGGTTGTAATGAGCTACATAATACTAAGGAAGAAGTAGTAACCAAGTATATGTTCGCTAAGATTCTTGGGCCAGTATTCGCTACAACTTACCCTCCTGAGGCAATTATTAATACCTTCAGAGCTACAGAAACTTGGCCTTTAAACCCTAATGCCATTAGCCCTAAACGTCTTGCCCCTTCATTAATAACAGAATATAAGTTATTGCCTTAGGTTACTCAGCCAACCGAAGAAAAATCATCTCCTGAAATTGTGCCCTTCTTTTCTCAACTTACCCATAAATACTCCACTAGAACTTGTGTTGTCAAAGAAGTAGAGATATTGAAAGCAGATGTTATGTCTCTTGAAAAAGAAGTCAAATTATTAAAAAAAGAAAATGAATCAATTAAGAAAAATTATAAATTAATAAATAAAGAACTAGAGACCTTTAAAAATCCCAGCACCTGTCCTTTAAAAATAGCACTTAAATATCCTACTTCTCGGCTTTCATCACAAACCAACAAACAAGAAACTTGCGAAGTTGTTGAATCTCAATCTTCTCAATCCTGGCCTATAAAAAAGAGAAAAACAATGCCTTTTGCCCGCCTTCTTACTAACGATGATTCTTTGCAAGAGTTAGAGGCTGCAGAAGAAGCTGCAAAATCTAAAGCTAAAAATATAAAAAGAAAAAAAGAAATTGCAGCCCAAAAAAAAATAACGCGTGAGTTAGAGAAAGCAGAAAAAAAAGCTAAAAGGAAGTGTAAAAAGGAAGAAAAAAATACAAAAAAAAAAGATAAAGGAAAAAATAGAGCTGATTAAGTTTTTTTTGCAAACAGTTTTAATATATAGCTTAATATTAATGAAAGCATATTGTTAAGAGATTATCTATACGTATCAATATATTAATAGTATATTAATATTAATGATCGCCATGTTCATCAAAATACCCTCTGGGGCTATGTTAATTATTGTTGTGTAAAGAGCATTGCATAATTTATCTTAAACTTGTATTTTTTTCTTTCTATATCATGAAACACATTGGAATCTACGTAGTTCAGAAAAAAATAAATAAAAATTTAAGGTTTTCTACAGACTTTTATTAGTGCGCAGTGTTAACTTCATCAAAATACCCACATCTACCTTATGGATATACTGTACTAAAAATTAGGATTTTTTTTTATACTATACTATGAATTTGAGAATCATGATTTTTTTTTTATACTATGAAAATCCGCTTGAACTCTATGAATTTGTAGTTTTATCTTCCAGATAAAATCTTGAACCTTTTCTCAAAAGTTTATCATTATCAATAAATTAATTAGTATTTGCCTTATAAATATAATCAGTCAATATACAGTATGGCTAATCAATTTATAGCTTTTTTAAAAACCAGGAAAGCCTTGCATACAACAATCAAGATAGCTTGTGTTCTTTTATGATAATGATAATGATAACAATAAAATTTATATTTATATTTATGGCTTTTTAAAAAAAAACAGAAAAACTTTGCATACAATAATCAAGATAGTTTATATTCTTTTATAATAATGATAATGATAACAAAAAAATTTAATTTATTAATCACTAACAGCTATCAATTTTTTATATACCACTCAACTAGTTGCAGAAAATATACAGATCCAAATTCTAAATCCATTCAATTATATATCTATACTTCAAAGTTAAGTTAAAATTTTATTTATATTTGTTTGTTCTGAATTTCTATATTTGAGATCATTCTTAAATACCTCCCTCGATAAGTTTACAGAATGATTTGATTGGTCAAAAAAATTGATTATAATTATCACTTAGCTGTTAGGTCAAAAAAACCTGGAGATGCGGCCACCAATTTTTTCGTAGTGCTGCTTTGAATGGCTAAAATTTATATACGCATTCAAACAATGAATTTTTAACAAGTTATTCTTTGATTATTTGCATTAACTATTCAAAGTGATCATAATAATTTAATCAATATCTTGATCACTAGCTAATCACATCGAAAGACTGCCTGAGAACACTTTAAATCAAATATCTAATATTATGCTTCATTAAAAATTGAATTATCATTATACTTATATATTGGTTATTTCAAAAGATGAAAAAAAATAAAAAGACATTGATTAAGATATTTTTATGTTAGAGCTTCACTTTTAAATTATTTCAAGCTACACTATGCAAGGCACATATCATGATATTTTAAAAATATTGGGTCAGAAAATTGACTACTCTGTCACCAAACGCTAGCCAGCTCTGGAAGGGACTAATTTCCTCCTCCAAACTAATTATCCTTGCGGGGAGCCAAGAAAACATTATTAGAAGATAATCGAATCTTATTCTTGGCTTCTCAGAAGCGGCCAATCAATTTAACCTAAAGCTAAAAAGGTTTAATCTTTGCAAATCATCTATGCAGGTCTCAAAACCTTTGCGTTCTTGTATAGAGGAAGATGATAATGCCACAATCTTGAAAGAATCATTAGATTACTTATTTCAAAAAATAGGTCAAAGATTTAGCATTCCTACTATCTTTTGAGTAAAAGAATTGCCTTAAAAAAAGCTGACAACCAATTCTCTGAGCAATAACTTACATGTGCATTCACTTGAAATAATATGCGACATAATTCATACTTAAATAATGGGATTGTTTTGAGACCATACACGATGCTTATTAAAAATATAAAAAATTAATATTACATATTATATAATGATAATAAATATGTAGTTAACCAGTTTATTATGAAAGAGTATCTGGGTATCTTTAATAGTTATCAGATATAACTAGTTATAATTAATCGATTAGAACTGGGTATAATCAACTGATTAATCGATTAGAACTGAGTATAATCAACTGGTTAATCGATTAGAACTAGGTATAATCAACTAATTAATCAATTAGAACCGGGTATAATCAACCAGTTAATCAATTAGAACCAGGTATAATCAACTAGTTAATCGATTAAAACTGGTTATAATAAAGTTGATCCATCAGATTAAAAATTCTTAACCTGGTAACATCCCAAATACGGAAATGATTCTGATATTGTTATACAGAGAACAACAGCCAATCATGCTATTAATTTTAGCACGTTAGCCAATCATGTTACAAGAAAAAAGTTGTGAGATTAAAAGGGATTAAGCGAATATAATATAGGGCAAGGTAAAGGCTTTAATTTATCTATAATATTTTATTAAATTTCAAGAAAGTTAAGCTACTTGTACTTTTTTAAATACATATTATAAAATGTATAAATAAAAATTTTTATCAATTGTGCGACTACTGGGTGACTCAGGTACTCATTTCCTAATTTGGAACATTCTCCCCCTGTTTAACCTGGTTATATTATATAACCAATTAGACCTAGTTATAAATCCAATTATGATAACCAGTTCCAATCTCTAATTAGTCCAAGTTCTGACACAAATATCTCTTTCACAATTCATAAAGGATCTACTATATTAGAATCTACACTATCAGCATATCCCAAATACTCTACCTTTAAAAAACAACTTTGGTATCATCATATTCTCTTTTTAGATCAACTCACTTCTACTAACAACTCTCACCTTTTAGACTAGAAACATATATCTTCAAGACTTAACAAAATCCCTAAAGGGAAAATTTCTCATTGGTTTACATTTCTTAAAAATTTTATCTTTAATTCCTCACACAACCATTTTATTTCTAGACAGCTTAACCTTTTACCTACTAACTAAATAGCTACTGTACAGGTTACTTTTACAAACACTCCAAGCCCTGGCTCTTAACTTTCCACTATAACCAAGCCATTATTGGCAAAGCTCATTGCCAATCTACAAACTCTGGCTTTATACTAATTACATATTGGCAATACAACCTTCCAACCACCCCTTCTTCAATATACCCTATTTCTGATATTATCTCAAGTTTATACTCTAATTGCTCTTTCAACTCTCACATTATCAATAGCAAATGCACCTTTTTTATTCTAACTAGTCATGCAGCCAAGTTTTTAGATAAACTAAACCCAGACAATTTCATTAATTTCAATGCATATCCTCTTGACCTCTTAGATTCAATTAAACTTAAAGATACCACCTAAACCTTAGCCCTCCCAAACCTCTCTATACTTGTCTCTCAAATTCCCCCAATCTTTACAAATAACACTGCTCTTAACACTCTTTAACATATCGCAAACTTCAATCTTTACTTCCCACATCTTATATTCTACACAGACAGATTAGTGATTAACCTAGATGATTCCCAATGCTCTATAGGTATTGGGTAGATCCAAATCGAGAACAATAGAATCCTCAATACATTTCAGGTACAAATCTCACTTTGGCCCTGTTCTTTTAAGACCGAATTACTTGCAATCTTATCAGCTATTTGCACTGCCCCCAAAAACTGCAATATTCAAATTTTTACAGATTCTTAATTTGTAATCACTAAATATAACAGTCTAGCCTAGCAAACAACCAAAACTAAGCTCCTAAGTACTTTCTACTGGTCTATTTAGAATATATTTCTTAATTTTATTAAATCTTATAGTCTAAAAATTACTTTTTACTAAGTCAAAGCACATCACAATGACAAATTTAACAACAAAGCTGATGAACTTGCCTGCAATCACTTCAATTCACCTCATCTTAAATTTAACTCTATTAATATCTATAACCTCTCATATATACTAAATTATAACAAACAACCTCTTGAACTTTCTATTCGTTACAGTATTCGAACTATCTGCCATACAAATATCTTTGCTCTTTGGTCATCTCACAACCATTTCCAACCTTGGCTAAATATTTTTCAATATATTAACTAGAATTTAATCTGGCTCTATATTAATGACAATCAAAAAGTTTCCAACTTTGCCCATAGCTTCTAGTCCTCTACACTTAAAATATTTAAAGTCAAGCTACTCACTGATGAACTTCCAGCACCACATACTCTACATAAATGAAACTCTCATTTCTTCAACATCTGTCATATATGTCAATCAACAAGCACCCTACTCCATTGGGCTATATGCTCTGCTTCTAACCCTCTCTATGAACTTATTCAGAATTCACTACAATATATTTTAAACTTCAACAAACTTCAAATCTCTTTAACACAATTTAACTAGCTACATAACCAAATTATCAACCTTGATAGCCTTCAAATACATTACTTTTTATACAAACTCTCTATATTTTCTACCCTCTCCAGACTTATCCTAATTGATATAATAAATACAATTCATGAATTTACTATATCTAACCAAATAGCCAATAATCTTACTATAAAACTCCTCTTGTATATTAACAAGCAACTATATACAAATCTTTAGATTCCATACTGCAGCTTAAGATCCCAACCTCAACTCTTTGAAACCTAACCAAATTCTACAAGCAATTCAAATCCTACTACAAATACTTCATTAACTCTCTCTCTAACACCTTTATCTAAAGTAATAATTTGGTATTCAAACTGGATTAACAATCATACACCCATCTCAAATACTTATCTTACCCCAAATCTAGATGAGCCTTGGCTACTCTAGTAGGTTTAGACCACAGATAAGTCTCCAAGTATATCTAGTTTAAGCTCTTGATTATATGTCTAAATTCTTATTCTTAGTAATAGACTTAAAATATAAAACTTTTTTCAATCCTGTAAAAAGTTTTCATTAAGTTTAATAAAGATAAAAGTATGGTCTCACCTTAAATATTAAAAAAAAAATAATAATAATAATAATATTAACTAATATATTATAGAATTAAAAGAAAAATGTTTGAGCAAGTGATGAAAAAATAATTTAAGAATTTGTAGAAGTAGAAAAAGTGGTAAATTATATTTGTCAAAAAATTTAATAAAACATATCTCCTCAAAAGAGTAGAATAATTTGGTATCTGAAAAAAAGATAAAATTTTCTGCAAAATTGCTCATTATATACCTAGCTTTTATAGCTATACAAGAATCTAGAGTCTTTAAAATATATATAATTTAATAAACTATAAATTTAAAAAATTAAATAAAATACAATCTAATTTAAAAAAATTAAAAAGTAAGTTATATATTATAAAAATTTAATATACATAAAATAATTAATATTAATTATTTATATTTAATTTATTAAATTTTTTTAATATTTAAAAAATTTCTATATAGATGATTTTAATGAATTTACTCTCCTCTACAAATCCTCGTACCAAAAACTAAGCTAAAGAAAAACTTGAAATAGCAAGCTAGAAGCTTTAGTAAACAAGACTCTAGTAATAAGACAAAGTAAAGCAGCATCAAAAGTTACAGTTGGTTTAATAGAACCAACAGATGCTCAAACGCTCGAAAAAGAAAATAGAAACAAATTTGTCACTTTTTTGCAAAATTCTTCTCAAAAAATTCTAGTTTGGGAATTTGGCTTTGACCTTGTAATGTAAATCAATTGTAACAACAAACATCATGTCAAAAACTAATACGTAAACAATACAAGCACTGGATAATTACACTACATTGAACATTGCATAGAGTACAAACAATATAGTGATAGAATAACATAACAAGAATGAAAAGACATGTTATATACAAGAACCTGTTTATAAAAGACAAACAGAAAAGAGAAAATCTGCTCAAAACCATTAATCAAGAAGTTTTAATATCAGAAGATAAAAAGATTGCAACATGGTTAAGAATAGAGTTAGCAAAGACAGTAAGCCTAATTAGAAAAACAGTAAAAATATTTAATTAAATTAGGTATAAAGAAGCAACAAGCCAAAACTTAACAAACCTTGAGCTTAAACTATACAAAAGCTCTTTGGTTTTGAAAGAGACCAGAACTGAAGAATTTTTTAATAACAAGAAATTACATATTAAAGAGATGCTGCTGCTAACAAAATGCCGAACTATAGACTATAGGGTTAAAGAACTAATTAGCAACATAAAGCCCAAGCAAGATCAAAAAGAAAACCTCTTATAAAATACAAATTACTAAAAATATCTATACACAACTCAAAATGAAATATAGAGGCCTCTAGTTATAAGTTAGACAAGGTGGCCCAAAGTAAAAATATATATATCTGCAAAATATATAAATACAAACTTATATAAATTATTATGATCTGAAATATTGTACAATAATTATGGTTTAGGCAGAATATTTTGAAATAAATTATGCAATATTACAAAATATATTTTGAAATATTACAAAATATATTTTGAAATATTACAAAATATATTTCAAATTATAATATAAAACAATTTGAAATATTTCAAAATATTTTGAAATATTTCAAAACAGTTCACAATAATTTAAATTAAATTTTGAAATATATTTCGTAATATTTCAAAATTTATTTCATAATATTTTGATAAAGATTATGTTAAATTATGAAAATCAAAGGTAATATTATTTAATATAGTTTGAATCAATTCAAATCAATTCGAATTAATCTAATTTTAACTAGACTTATATAGTGTCAAAACAATAAATATTTATAAACTTAAAATAATTTATTTGATTATATAACTATAAATTAAAGTGAAATAATCAAAATTATTGTAAAATAATTTGG